TCTGTGCCGTATTCAAACGAAACTTTCTACATGAAAGCGCTTGAATACAAGGAGTATTTTACTCACATGAATTAAAGAATGTTTGGCCACATGATTAGAAACAATAAAAATAGGTACGCGAGGCGTACATGTATCTGCGAAAAAACTTGATTCACATTTTGTATTTTCTTGAAAGAAACTGAATAATGAAGATGACATGGGACAATTGAAATATTTCATCACTTATTATAATAGCAGATAAGATATAAAACAGGGCTGTACACAGCGGGGAGTGCAGCAGGGCAAGTCCCCCCCCCCCACCCCCGCACCGAGAAAATTTAACTAACTTTATAATGTGATTGTGATTGTAAACAGATAATTATGCAGTCAGGAAATAAAAATTCCATGCAAACAATATTCAAAGTGTCTATACAGCCGGCTATTTAGTAAACTGTCACCTGTCAATTCAATCCATACTCATCAAATTTTCAAAACTTTATTGCAATCATATGAAGCAAAAGTTATGTCACTTGTTGTTTACACTTGCTAATGTTAACTGTTGAGTAACATACACAAAATATTTGGTGAACATGTTGAAGACCACTGAATAATTGAGAATGTTTTGAAGGTCATGAGTGAAGTATATAATTAAATTCCAGTTCTGTGCACAGTTAATGATATAGCACACTGTTCGGTTTAACACATACAGCACATTCACACAAAAACAATTGTGTTGTGGGAGATTATCGGTTTGAGTAGAAGGTATCACAAGTTTAGTTTTGTACATTGTGTGCCATTGATCAAATCCACCATATAATATATGATTATTCATTGTAGCTGTTAAGTTATTTTCCATACTAATGAATTTAGGTAAGTTGGTTGTTCTGACAAAATAATCCAGCCAATATCCAGTACATTTATTCTTCATTCTTCTATTAATCTCTAAAGAAAAATATTTATGTTAGAAAGCAAAATGACAATGTAATGAGGCTCGGGAGGGTGAGGATTCTTTTATTTGAAAATGTTGGTAAATTGTTTAATAACTCTAATGTGTAAAACCAAAATGTATAAGTATTTTAACTGATAACATCTTCAACCTTTGCTCTAACACTACATTTGATGACAGCTTTATAGTTGGACTGTTGTTTTGAACAGAGTTACGGAGTCAATATACAGAAATACAGGACCAGGATTTAATTCAATATCTCCTGAGAATGTTTTCACTGTTTAAAATATTACAGAAGTCACAGAAGGATTGTTTTTAATACTGTATAAATCTTTTTGTGAACTATGTTGACAAATGGCCAATATCCTCGAAAATATCCAATATTTTATACAGTGTAATATATATTAATAAAAAAATTCCAGAGTGCATTCCATGTAAACTCTACGGCGAAGATACGGCAATATTAACTGTAGGTAGTATAGTAAATATTTGCCGAACTGGCCGGCGAACTCATGTATTATAAAATATGTGGGACATATATTTGCACAAATTTGGTATTTAAATATATAATATGTGGTATTTGACTACTTACCAGATGAGCATAAGATTCCATGTTGATAAAGAACTTCGGAATAATATCGCAAGTAGAATGGCGAGGAAAAAAGACAGCCAATTCAAGATAAATTGATAAAAATATCAAGATATTTTTGAAAGAATATAAACACTGTTTATACACGAGGCCTGACGAGGCAAAGTATGCCCGTTCGCAGGTTAGATGCGGGCACGATGTAAACAATCGATGTAAACGAATCGCTGATTGGCTTAAATTGGCATAAAATAGCTTAAAATATATAAGCTCGTCGCTGAATGGCTATGTGTTAACATACGGTAACACTGACGGTCACGTTTGCGATAGCAATATATCTGCTTCGCAGATACAAAAATCGTAAAAATGTAAAATTTTAAATTGGGACGTGACGAGAAATTAACCCATTTACTGGCAGTACTATACCTACTGCATGACGAGTAAAATTGTCTGGCGTTGATAGACAATAAATACTAAAGTAGGGCGCATTGCCAGCTAATGGGTTGTTAATAAGAGACATTGGCAGATAGGTTTTTAACCCATTTACTGACAGTACTCTACCACTGACAAGTAAACTAAAATCGTCTGCATGGCGTTACACATGCAGTGTAAATTTGTCTGGCGTTACACAGAGTTAGCTAATGGGTTAATAGACCTTAATGCTGTTTATCCACTTTTGACCCAATGGCCTCATTTTCATGTTGGTTATTTATAAGTTTGTGATTGGTCTTAATGATGAACGAGAAACAAATTTGTGCAGAAAAGTAGGAAACATACGGCATATAACCGTCCTGTGCAGATCTGCCATGCTAACAATGATGAAACGTGGAAATGAGCACATTGGGTCAAAAGTAAAAGACTTCCCTTTACAGAATTGTGTAGAAGTATAAACTTTAAGTTTGCATTCAGTTCATGTGGCAAAAAGGCAGCACTTTCCTTGCGATAGTAACTCCTAGTACATTAATACGTAATAGGATGTATTCTAGTGAAATCATGGATAAACCAAGCACTCGTGCGTTTTTCAAAGACCTCAAATAGCACTCATCCTTCGGATTCGGGCTGTTTTGAAAAACTCACTCGTGCACGGTTTATCCAAATTGCACTCGAAACCATCTTATTACCTATACTGAACCGTCTATAGAAACTGTAATTAGTTTTGACCTTCCTCTGTGTTAATGAGTTTGTGTTAACTGTTTTTGACAAGCAGGAACCGCCTATAGTGATTGTATTAACCGGAATCCCGCAAAACAACATATCAATCCGCTGTATAGTTTACCGACTTAGTAAGATATATTGGTTTCGGCGAAACCAGTTGAGAGCTATAGGAAACGCCTATATATGGTGACTGCATGGAATATTAACCGGATGCCGCAAAGCCAAACATATCATGATAAGTTTATACATGTTATAACTCAAGCCACTCAAAAACTCCATTTATGGTTAATGTTTTGTCTTTATTTTGCTTACCATGGCAATTAACCGAAATATGCATGCAGGACGCGGAGAAATTGAAGGAATTAATTAGGAATCGATCGCAGCTCAGGGACGGTCCAACGGACCGGAATCTCGCAAAATACGCCACTAAGTCTCGGAAAAAACGAGAGCGAAACGTTTTCTGCACACAAAGCAACCGAAGTTGACAGTGAGACTAATTGCATATCATGGATCATAAAAATACTGGATAGGAAACTCACGCGTCAGCCTGCTGCATAACAGCGTCTCAACCTTGTTTAATAAAAAACCCCGCAAGAATACAACCACGCCACTATATACGATGGATTATAGTATACAAATCATGAATGTTTTTATAATACTCGTGCAATGGTAAGGGCTATATTTTCATTCGGTGAAAGATGGAATGTTCCGACAGCCGAGGTGAATGGAACATTTCATCTTTCACCGAATGAAAATATTGATTTCTTACCATTGCACGAACAAAAACATATTCATTATCTGTTTTATATAATACCAAAATAGACTAATATTGCTTTCTCAAGAACAGCGGTTTATTACTAACACCACCTTTAAGTTAATTTAAAATAAATACACACAACAGAAACTGAATCATGCAGTTTCAAACACAAAGAGTGCAATGGAATAAAACGTATAGTACAATTGCACGGCGCAAAGAGTGCAATGGAACGTATTCCATTGCACTCTTGGGAAATGGAATTTTCTATTCAATATCACGTGACGATACGATCAGAATTCAATAAGGTATTATATAATATTTTCAAGAAATATATTTAGCCAGTAAAATACGCGTCAAAAATTTCATTTATATCAGTCAACTGTTACAGTATTGTTTGACTTTTGTGACGCCAATTTCTTGATCACGAAAGTAAAAACGAAAAGCAAAGTCTAAAGATAGACAACATTTACCTTGAATACTTTGCCGTGGCACAAGCAGGTTTAATTAAAAACAATGAAACCATTTTGAATATCGCTACTTAAATTCGAAAAATATTGGATAGTCAAAGCCGGAAAAACGCAGTAAACTCTTACTATATATTCGTTTTACTGAAGAATTTTGTGACAGTTGGTGATTATACGTACTTCTCCGTACTTTTCAGAGGCTGAGCAGATTTAAAAGTCAGCCTGACACATCACAATGTACAAACATAACTGAAAAAATATTCCAAGATATATGAATCTCCCATGTGGCACGTATCTGTTCGTTCAGGTTTTTGAACTTATATTGTGGTTTTCCTAGCTAAGGCCTGTTTTATACGTCGAATTTTGATCGCGTCGAATGCACATTTTTTTCACTATTCATGATTTTACCGAAAAATTTTGCAACATTTGGTGATTACGTACTTCTCTGTACTTTTGAGAGTAGATTTAAAAGTCAGCCTGACACTGAGTCACAATGTACAAACGTGACTGAAAAATATTCGAGGATAATCACCAGGTCACGTGATATGTATCTGTTGCATTGTTTACGCTCGCTCTTGAGTCTTAAACCGATATTGTGCCAAATTTGCCTAGCTAATTATAAGTAGTTGGCGAAGAAGCAAAAAGTTAGGATTTGCCAATGCGATAGATCTACCAGTCAATAGCTATATGTTAATGAACCATATTTATAAAATAAAAAATATTGCACAGCTGTGCATGAGTTATCATCAATACTGCGTAGCTGGTTTATATTTGTACCAAACAAATACTTTGAGAGTACTGAAATATCCGCCACACTTTAATATTAATCATTGGTGATGAAAACCGATAAAAAAAGTTTACTACATGTAACACCACAATATACGTTACTTGTTGAAGCAGATTCTGCTATAATAATTATCAAAATAGTTTATTTTAGTAGATATACCAATATAAACAAAGATAATTTGTCTCTTCCGGTGAAGACAAAGCAGCGTGCATGCATGATCATGTATGCAAAATAATGACGTATACGTATAGTAAATGACCTTGCATAATCCCGTGAGTGGATTATATGACTAAACATTTTTCAAGTACATTGATAAACTGCACTCTTTAACATCGGAAGCCAACTTTAACGTGCATTGGGAATATATTCACATCTGACTTTAGCCACGAAGTAGGTATGCTGGATCCACTGAATACGACAGCGTTCAATGTTTCCTCTGGTGAGCAGGAGATCGAGAATTGTTTCATGACATACATCGTTCGTAAGCCATCGACACCGTATATTATAAACAGCATATTTAGTTGCATCGTAAACGCCATCTTAGCAATTCTAGGGACATTTCTGAATGCTCTGGTCGTGGCCGTTTTCTGGAAGACACCGAAATTACGAAACAAGGTGACCTATTTTATGATAATGCTCTTATCTTGTATTGACATGTGTGTGACAATAATCGTCCATCC